CAAAGAAAATGGCATATTGACATATGGCTGTCTCTTATACACATCTAGATGTGTATAAGAGACAGGCTGTAGGCCTACTAAAAATATGTAGAATAAAACCAGTGGGCAGTTGGACCCCTGACAAAGGAACAGGGAATTAGAATTATGAAGAAAGCCATCTAATATCTGGCTAAATCAGCAATATTTATACTATCTATATCTATTAAATCATCTCCAACACAGGAAGTAGATAGTTGACCTAGGTCATGTGACTCTTAGTCGCCTACATACACACACAAAACATTTCAAATAAAAGTACAAATATAAAAAATTGTAAACGATAAGCAAAACTTTGCGAAATGTTTAACTACGGTACATTTTTCAAAAAATAATAGTAAAACTGAAATACATTATCATAGTGCCTAATACTTTTTTTATGTATCAAATACAAAAAGCATAGACATATATAAGCAAACTTTTTAAAAAGCATGTTTTCATCCAAGTTTTTTTTTAGAAGAGATAGTAGCTCTTTCACCTCAGCCTCCCCTTCTTGTAGGTAGTCATAATATTCACCACCTAAAAAAAAGTTGGATTTATGCAGTGGCCCCCAAAAAGTTCGGGAAAAAGAAACTGTTTTTTATTTGGTCTATGTTTTGCTCTGCGTAAATAACCAACAAATGAAATTCCTGTAACCTGCAACATTTTAGCATGACATCATGGACAGATTTTAACTCCTTACTTTTTTCAAGCAAGTAAAATTGTAAAACTTGATGCTTAAAATGTAACAAAGGTTGTACGTAAAACAACACAAGTAAAACCTTGAATAGAAGCCCAGTGGGCTTAATCTTGAGAAGAATCCGAATTGAAGCCCCCTCTTTAGTTCACAAAAATAGCCTCGAAAAGAAGCCCAGGGCTTCTTTTCACTAAATACACTGTACATGAATTTTAAAGAAACAAAAAAAATAAAAACATGTTTGGTTTATGCAGTGTTTAAGGTGATTTAATGCCGCTTAATACACTCCATGATACAAATCAATGTTACAGTGGTCCTATTTATTGTTTTATAGTAGCAATTCCCAAAATTTACAGCATTCATTTTGAAAAAAAGCCCCCTCTTTATTTTGCAAACCCATCTCAAAAAGAAGCCCATCCAGAGTTCCCAAAAAAAAAAAAAAAAAAGCCCAGGGCTTCAGTTCAAGGTTTTGCGGTATAAGAAGAAAGATAGTTGAGACTCCTGTTGCCAACTGGACGCGTTTCTCTGCTATGGCACAATATTCCATCTATAAAATGAATTATAAAAATCCTCTAGTGAGGCAAAAGCAATTGCACTCTTTCCCATCTGACACTGGAGATCGGGTTTGTATATCATACAGGGCCTACAGTGGTTATTCATTTACTTTTGAAGGAACTTAAGGAATTTTAGTAATATATTATAATAAGATACATAATTTTTCATATATATCTTTTTATGCAAAAAAGGTAGAAATAAAAAATTTTATTTTTTTTTAGTTTTTCATTTTTTATTTTTCTTCACGCGTTTTCCTGTCAAGAAAACCGACAAAAACTGGCCTTTGAAACCATACAGCTTTCTTGCAACTGTAACCAAAGATACAACTCTCCATTCCATGTCATTTCGGACCAGCCTTCTTTGACCACACAGCTAACTAAACATCTCATCTGTTCGATAGCCATTTCTAATTTGTGTATACACATAATAACAGACACTAAGATCTATAACAACATTAGGAAACACCACAACGCTCACAGAAGTAATGCGACCTCCGTAGTAGCAGGTTTAGCAAGTTCAAAAACACTGTAGTCGAGAGCAAGCATTAGTTGTTGCCATAATAACAGTACCCCGATGTTTGCGAGCGAGGCCTTTTCATACATCTTCCGGCACAGTGCTTAGTGATGGTTGTGGCAGTTTTTGCATTAATGGTTTCACAATTTCAACGTCATTGTCGAGTTGTTCTGCACGCAGTCGTCTAGCTAGCCACCACATGTATGCAGGCAGACCATAACATAGAATGGTTATAGCGAGGAGTCCAATGTTCACCTATAAGAAATTAAAAGTAGAGACATCAGTTAATTTATTTTTTAAACATTACAAAATTCATACAGACTGGTTAGGATCCAGAGGAAAAGGCCTTCGAAAAATTATCTCTTACATTCTGGGAGTAAATTGGTGAATTTTTATAATGTACGTAGTCTCCTATATAGTGCAGTCTCCTATCTTCTATCTGGTGGGGCCTACAGGAGGTCTGGCCAACCCACTCAAATTGTGGGTTGGGCCTGGTTCAACCCAGTGCGACAGTGTATTACGGTATATAAACGGTATATATATATATTTTTTTTTATAAAAGAAGTAAAATGAATCTTTGTAATGTATTCCGCAATTATGTTTCCACCTTTTCTCTAGGCTTGGACAACAATCAAACAGATTATCTTTTTTCATAGTCTCCAAAATTTGATGAGGGCTAGGATGTGGAACTAGCAATTAATTTTGTTTAGCCTAAAGCATATGCACATACTATTCATGTATAACTTCTTCATTAATATTAATAATAATAATAATAATAATAATAATAATAATAATAATAATAATAATATTTATAAAAAGCGCACAAATCCACTGCAGAAGTGCTCAAGGCGCTACAGGAGGAAGGATCCAAAAATAACTACAGTGGCATAAAGGCACCAAAATGTACAGATACAGTAAATGACATGCTACCACACAAAGATTAAACACAGGGAAATAATAAAAATACTGAAAGTGGAGAACCTTTGACCTTTCTCATGCGACCCCTCCATATTTAGTGAATACTTTGTGTCTCATTAATTCATTTGTTCTGATAAGGGATATTGGACAGTTGATCCATAAGTCAATAGATCCACTAACCTCCATGGTCAGTCAATACACTGAAGGTCATTGTTCAGACAGGAAAGAAACCACCCACAACTGAAGGAAATGCCTAAGAAATAACTACAGTCCTACAGTATGATCAGGGAGTTGTTATAGTGCTATAACAACTCCCTGGTATGATGCAAGTATGATTTTTTTGTTTATACTACATGTTTGATATGTATGTAAACTGTAATACATACATATACGAACATACACTATGTATAGCTTGTTTGTATTATCATGTAGAACTGTCATTTTAAATGAAACAAAATGATTCAACAGAGAGAAAGACTCTTAAAAAATGTGAATCTGACAGCATTAAAGATCATCAAACAAACAATACATAATATAAACAGAGCAGAACTAATGAGTAATATAGTTTAATAAAAAAGAACAAAGAAAATGGCATATTGATATATGGCATGTTAAATTAATTTCCCACCTTCTGCATTGTTGAAAAACGTCATAGAAATCAGAAAAATCAGATGCAATTTGAAAAAGAAAACATTAGTATGTGTTAAGTAGCAATTCAATAATTAACTTTATCCAAACTGACAAATTTAATATAAAAATTGGTGTAAATTGTCCATATGTGGGCAAGGTGATGTCATATCACATCCATATATGGACATGATGATGTCATTTCATACCCATATATGGGCTAGTCACAGGTAGGTATATTTGTCAGGTAACATTTTATACTGTATTGCGGATAGGACTTTACACAGTGAATTTGGAGATTGTGCGCTGCAGTCATTTTATATGGAAAACGTTGTGCAAGTTTGTTTCAAGGTTTGCATGACAATATAACATTATTTTAAATAATTAAACTTCCAGTACACTTTGTATAGAAATATTGTTCTTTTATGGAAAAAGCCATTGGTCAGTTGCGTCAATTAGTGGGGTTTCCCTAATGTTCAATTATGTTATCAAGCTCTATAGTGTTTTGTGCTATAAAAATCAATAACCATTAACCATTACTATTGTAATAATTTAATATTAGGCATTATGGATTAAATAAGCATTAATTTATATAATTATTATTGTTATTGCTGTTGTTACTATCATTATTATTAAAATCTCAAACTAATTAAGTGTACTCACCAGAAAAGGATCGGACTCCAGAGAACCTTCAATGGCAACGAAGATGGGGTATTGCAAGAGAGTAGCGCAAGCCGAAACAAGGGACTGGAGGCCTACAAGACTCCCTATTTGATTGGCAGGATACCTGCAAAGACAGAGAAAGGCTCACCAGTCAAGCCCACATAAATATTACAGTAATGCATTTTGGATCGACTAAACTGGTAGTAGCCACTGGAGATCTTTAACATCCTTGATCTCGGGTTCATGTGTTGGTCTCTTTTCGATTCAGCTGGAGGGCTGAAACACAAGTTGCAATAGCACTCCGTCTTTCGAATGAAATGGTCCAGGGTGCAGTATGGCCCATGTCCACGCTGAAGAACCCAGTACAGTATGTTCTTCGGAAGAGAGAGAATTGTAGTGGAATGCCAAATTTACCACCAGAAGGATCACACTGGATATCACACCATAGAAATCCAAATGTAAGTGTCATGCTATATGATATATTTATTTTCATAAAATAAATAAATAATCTTCTATTGCAAGTCTATATTTTATTTGGTTTTTTACAGTCACTAAAATTATTTTGTTCTACTGTCATGATTTCTCGGTTTACTGTTTTGGGCTTGTTTCCGTAGTATGGTAATTTTAGGGGTATTTAAAATTTTATTGACAATAAATCTTGTATTGTGAGACTACAGGCCTATATCTTTGTGCTTTAAATAATAAAAGGCACAATATAAATGTATAGAATTGAATTACAACTGGTAATTTCTGGATCAAAATAGTTAATATTCCTTCATTTAATTCCAGAGTGTCTCGTACTTACGTAATTGCATAAAGCCCACAAACGGCACTGTGGATGAAACCTCTGACGACCGTGTGCAGAAGAAAACTCAAAATCTGTAAATAAAAATCATGAAAATGTTTATAAATAACATAAAATTTTAATGTTTAATTCAAATATAATTAGTCTTCAGAATAGCACACTAAATTGTATATCTTGTATGTCTGCTAAAGATTGTGTGTCTAAAGGTTAAGTCTCATTTTTTTAAACCTTTAATCAAAAAAATAAATTTTCTAGCATGGTAATGGAGAATGTCATAATCTTTATACAGTAATAGTATTAAGATTTTGAAAGTTAGGATGATTTGGTCTATCAGAGGGTTTGTTTAAAGAGGTGGGTGGGTGAGGGTAGTGGTAAGACCTAACCATAAAAACCCCTTTAAGTTAGAGGTTTTGGGAAAACATAAGAGATTAGGTTAAAGCACAATAATGAAAGATTATGATGAAATTTTATTTATATTATCAATTTCTCAAAAATAGATTTATATTTTGGGCATTTTGAATGATATTTGAATTTTGATGTGGACATTTATAAATCAGTTATTTAGAGCACTAACCTGAACAGCAATATTTGGAATTAGTACTGTCACACCAAAGGCCATTAGCAGCGTTGTTGTGATTGTGAACGCAACTGATGCATTTCGTAATTTCCTGATCTTGAGCGAGAGCGGTGGCGTGGCGTAATCTATGAGGCCGTCCTCGGATGTTGTACTAAAGTTACGGCCATTACCGACAGAAACACGACGTTCCGATGATACAGAACCACGTTTATCTTTTGAGATGGAACCTCGTTTTTCATTAGAGATGGAGCCCCGCTTTTCAGAGCAAGTTGAAGCACGTCTATCGTACGACATAGAACGTTTTTCACGCTTTTGTTGTTCAAGAGCTGCTCTGATCTTCCAATCCATTACAAGGCCAATAAGAGGACTACTTATCAGACACAGCAGTTGCATCAGTCCAAAAATATTAATGTAAGTATTTACTGGGAAGAATAAATGCATAAGCTATGTTAGTGCAAATTTATATTTAAAATATTGAATACCAAACCCATGCTAACTTAAGCCCCTTTCAGATTGACGTTGCCGCAATATTGCGGTAAGCATGCCAGCAAAATAATCAGTCTATACTTTTCACACAGCGCCTTTGATACCGCAGATTGCGGTATTCTTACGCTTTTCTGTCTGAAAGGGTCCTATAGAATGACGTATTATATTGGCGGTTTAAATACCACCGCGCAGTTGTTTTCAACTTTAACCTTGTTTGTTTATGCATAAATGCACACGCCGGCTTCATTGCCGCAATATTGAGTAGACCCTTTTAGACAGAGCAAGCCAGTAACCGTTACCGCAATATTGCGGCAATATTACTAGGGTGCAAAGTGGCCTAAATTAAGTCGGCATACCATAAAATGTATTTTTGGAATAGGCTTATCTTGTTACGGTAGGCAATGCGACAGTGTTATGTAATCGTTTTGCTCTTAAATATGAATTTTAAAATGGTCTTCATTGTATTTTTGTGTATGTTCTACTTTTTATGCATAAACATGTTATTGGTTAAAAAAAAAAACTTTTCCTACCGACCTACCTATTTTTCGGATTTTCCCAAAACGTGGCCAACACAAGAATTTTTTTTTTCGGCCTTACAGTATTGGCGTATCAACCCTTTCAGACAGAAGCCCATGTTGGCGTACTTACCGCAATATTGCAGCTCTGTCTGAAAGGGGCTTATCTTTCACTTACCTTCTCAAAAGATCCACACAAAACTTGACATACACACCTTCTTTATGCCTTTTGTCTTCCTACAGATTTTGACCAGTAATTTATTATCAAGCCTAAATAACTTTTGGTATACATATGAAAAATGTATGTTTTCCTCTTACCAGTGTCAGGGTTATCAACAAGGCCATCAAGTAACTGAGAGATCGAACCTATGAAGAAGAGAAGACGTAGCTGCATAATGCACAGGACCAGGACACTCCACATGTAGATGGGGCTGAAGACAGACTTCATAAAACTCTGCTCATTATCCTTAGAGTCTTCTTCCATCTTCACCTCAAGGTGCAATCTGCAGGTAAAGGTGTTCTTAATATTAAATATAATATAAAAATTATTTAGCCTGATCCATTGGGCTTAAGTATAATAAAAGCATGTTAAATACTTAGGAAAAGAGTAAGGGACTTGCACTGTATTATCCATCACCGCACTGAAAATCTGTGGTCATTAAAATAGAGTGTGCCAATAGCGTGTATCATCGCTGTGATTTTCACAGAATATACATGATTACACACACCATGTATGCGCAAAATCCTTCTATTTTTTAGCCACATGCTCAGTAATACCAAAGAGTATAAACCTGCAAGAGTTCCGACTATCGTGGTTTCGTTAGAACATAATCATATTCCAAAAAGTACTGCCCAGAAGGAGCATGTCTTTAAAAGACAAGTTTCGAGTGAATGCTATTTGAATTCTAATAGGGCGCCCCCTTATCTCACGGCAGTATTTTTTTAATGTATGCATACAAAATCAGGGAAATCAGACCTTGCAATTCTATATTCTTTGATAATACCTACTGCGTATTTAAATTCAAGTGCGAATAGACGTATAATTTGAGCAAGGTGAATTTACCCTTTGTCTTTGTCAATGTGAACACAGCTTTAGAGAGATGTTTGTACACTTACTGGGAAGAATAGTGGGGTTTTCCATTCCTCATTTCCAGTTTGATTTCTTCAATGTCTTTCTCCTTGTTAACGGTGTTCCCGAATGGCTGGTCGAAGCTGCTAACATTGGAATAGAAGCCTTTACCTGGTGGTAGAAACACATTGTCCGTGTCAAGGCTGAGACGTCGCCCTACTGTCGTCACATGTTTCTGGAACTTCTTGCCGCTGATTCGGTGATTGAAACTTAACATGTGCCAGTTCATGCTATCAATATTATTGAAGAAAATAAAAAAAAATTATCAGTAGTAATTATTTTATTAATAAGTAAAATACTATCTTTGTTTAAAATACCTGCTGGTTTATATAATGTAAGAATATATTCACAGTGTTGATGATTCAAAGGTTTTTGTGATTGAAACCTACCCAGTGTTGCCTTCAGGATCTGGGATGGGCTCAACAGGTACATTAATCCAACAGTTAATAGGTACAAACATGGTGCATATGGCAACACCCAAAAATATGATCTGTCTACTAATTTGGCAGTCATACAATCCCTAGAAAGAAAGCAAAGAAACATAGGCATACCAATAGTAGCTTTGTTTGCATTCAAAGCATTTAAGGTATTTTAGTGTATACCAAGCTTAAATTATTTTTAATTAAACTGGTCTGGTGTCAAGTTAAGCTGGGCACTCACTGCCTTCGATGGTCATCGGCTGACATGATTCAATGGGGAACGCAACGCCACAATGTGCATGCAAGAGATTCTTTTTTAATGATGATTCGTTCAGACTGCCACGACAAACAGCAGACGACGTCGCATTCTATAACGCTAAGAGGAAGCGGGGTTGGATTTGTTGGCCGATGGTCGTATGACCGTCATATGACGCAGTGACTGCCCGGCTTTAGTTGAATTGGTTAAGAATGCTCCTCAGAAGATGAAAGAGGTTGTACATGATAAAAGCTGCCTATCAAATGGCCTTGGGTAATAATTATATCGTCGCTCACATCACGAACTAACACAATTAAATTCAATTGTGTTAGTTCGTGAAATCAAAAAAGCGCGTCAAAATACGCGCTGTTGTCGTTAAGAACTTTTTGTGTGGTAAAGAATACAAAATTGCTTGACAACCAATACGCGCTCGTTTTGACGCGCTACTGTGATTTCACGAACTAACACAATCTACTTTGATTGTGTTAGTTCGTGATGTGAGCGACGATATGTCTGAAAATATGCTCTTAAATAGCTACTGAATATATTTTTTCAGTCTTACAATAGTGAGTGACATGAAACTACAGTAGTTCGTGAGTGGGGAAGGGAGATATTTTGGTGTTGATAATGGTACAACAAGTAAATGGATGAGACGTTTTATAAGCTTTGTATAGTATAGTAATCGAGATGATAATTATATATACACTTAGAAATATAATATTAAAAATGAAGGTCAAATCAATTAAACATGATTTCCAATTAAACAAAACAAAAGTTTATTCTATCTGCCTTAATTGTCTCTCATATGTCCTCCTACAAACACTTTATTTTGATTCAGGAAGGATGAATCTGCCAGAGGCGGATTCAAGGTTGGGACCCACCCCTTTTATATGAAAATACAAAGAAATTAGGGGGAAAAAGAACATTTTTTTTTTCATTCAAATTTAAGTTTGAGAGTGCCATTTCTGGCCATCTACAGTCCCATGGTGGGACTGAGTTACTGGGTAATTCCATTACCCCTCAATTTCAAATTCTCAGGTCTGCTACTGCCTGCTGTGTGAATTATGACAGATGGTAAAAAGACTGCCGGACTGTCGTAATATAGTACGGGAGGTTTGAAGAGCAAAAGGTTACTAAGTATTGTGACACAGGTGTCAGCATACCTTAACGATCATGAAAAGGATGGCCGCAGAGGCGTATGAACCGATGTTGAGACTGATAACTGTGGATCTTTTGGAAGGGAATAAATTAGCAATCTGCAAGATATAAATTTCATTAGAGCATTAAATAAGTTGTTAAGAAGAAATTTAATTTTGTTAGTTTCTATTGTTAAATGCATTTGCTTTAAATGGTAATCAAAAACCTTGGTAAATATGATTATTATCATCATCATCATCATTCTTTATTTTATATTGGCACATGGTTTGGTTACACTTGTGGGCCTATGTATTGATATAATATGTATAATCTATATGTGTGTGTTACTAATAGTTATTAAACATGATAAACAGATATAAAGCAAATCAATTTTGCCTTCATCTATTAGTGTGAACCATGGCCATCATCATAATAGTTTGTCTGTGATCTTTTGAATTTGATGTTTGATAGCTTTTTCTAAGTATCGTAGGTCACCCTTGCTGGTGATTACACGGGTCAATGCTATATGATGATGCTGAAACTGATCCTGTGGTCCCAAGCGAAACGATGCACTTGGAATAGTCACGTTCTGAACAACTGTTAATTTCTTAGATCTGAGGTTATTTTTTATTTTAACAAATCATCTTAAATGTTTCTACTACATAAAATACATTAATTATAAACCATCCAAATATTTATCAACTTTCATATAGCATTCATTGGTTTAGAAATTGAATTTTCACAACAGAGGATTCTCTTGTTATAAGCCCACCCTGAAAAATCAAAATAATGTAGTGTACAAGGTAGGGGATTGGGGGGGGGGGGTAAATTTCTGTGCTCATACCTGGAATGATGTGAACGTTGTGATGATTCCTCCTACACCGTTGAGGGCTACTGCTGGAAAGAGAAACCATGATTGTTTCTCGACATCTGCACACCCAAATAAAATACAAGATAGAGCAAACATAAGACTGAGGAGATAAAAATATAGAGAAAAATTAAAATCTTATTTTAAAAAACAAACAAAATTGCTGATTATATACATCTCAGTCTTAAATTTAAATTGTTAGGTTCTAGGTTATGTTAGGCTCACTATTTCTCACATGTTTAATTTTATTAATGTTTTTAATACATTAGAGAAAATAATGACCCTATCAGGATTTGAACCAAGGAACTCGGACACACATGTTCAAATTCTCTAGTGAAATTTTAACATACATTGTTATGTTCAAAGATTTTTCTTGAGTCACATTTACATCAGCCATGCATATAAATAACATACCGTGCAGTCTTTTTCATTATATTTATAATGTACATCTATTATATTAACATTAAGATACATTAATGACTTTTTAAAAATTTCACTTGTTTTTAATTACTCAATAAAATATTATGTTCTGTTTCCATCTGCTTGGCAACAAGGAACTATAATTTATGTGATGAAATCTGAGAATCAACCAGCCAATCAGAGAGATGGATTTAAGTATTCAATACTTAAGGTTACAGCTGCTATAAATTTGGCTATATTCACCCGCTTTATTTTTTTGCTCTTTTTAAAATCTGAGGATGAATATTAAACATTTACAATACTATTAGAATTAGACACACTTTTTACCATCCATACTTTTATCAGCTGTTAAGTGCACTGGGATTTTAAAATATGTATGCACTATACAAAAATGGTATTGCATCTAGTACAAAGTTGTTTCCAAGCGAAACCCCATTTTAAGTACTAATATCAATATTATATCAGTACAGAAATGTTCAATATTATTCTCATTCTCTTGTACATTCTAGGTGCAGCAAGTTAGCAGTAAATTATTTGTTATGGTTAAAATTATATTATATCATCATGTAAAATATAATTCCATGGTATATCTAACATTTTGTTTTACAACTGAAAACACAGGGAAGAAATATACAGTGGTTGTGTCAGACGACAGTTGATTTATTATAATAAATATTTTATGGGAACCCAAGTGAATAGCACAAGAGGGCAAGATACTTAAATTCTAGTCGCCTTACTGTAGCCTCTCGGAGCGCTATGTTTTTACATCTTTGCAAAGCGCATGATTACTTCATAGTCTCATTAAATTTTCTTGGAAATTCATTATCCTAGCAAACGTCAGAACATTGATAGATTTTATGTTTTTTCCACCTGTTATTGGTCACAATTATATTATATTATAGGATGTAGGCCTACTTTTCAGACCAACACTTGTGCTGTACCAACATCAGTTTTTTGTTCAATGTATTTACTCTACTGTATTTTTTATTTGATTTATTCAATATGGTCTTTAAAATACAAAACGGAAACAAATGAACATGAACAGATCAAATCACAAAAGAGCATGGGGATAACCCTCAAAATGCGAAAAAGACAATTATTTCCTACATGAACTAACATGAAATGAACATAGTTAAGCAAAATTAAATATTATTCAACAATATTTAAACAATAAAGTAGTTCACCTAAATATAAAAACTTTGAAGATTAAAAGGACAATAACTGTTGTAAGAATTTAGATTTAAACAATTAGCACTTGAAATTTGCTATTACTTCACTGTACGAAACAATTCCCCCGGGGTAGGTAATAGGAATATTTTCTCATTCTCCTCTTGAATATAAAAGCTTAAAAGCCATAATAATAATTTGGGCATCAAATTCATATTTCTTCCAAAATAACAAATGGGGCCTTGGTACTTATCTGGGTCAAACATAATTATATAATAGTAATTTATTTATTTGATTACATCACAGAATGACTAGTATTTGTTGTTGGACATAATTAACGAGGTGATTGCACTAATGCAAATTGATGGCAGGTTTAGAATCTGTCAAGGATGAGTCCTGGTACTTGAGAGTCATCAATTACACCACCATTTGGGGTCAAAGGTAAAGTACAGAATAGACAAACAATGACGTTTATATTCATGACAGATAGCTTTGTTGACAAGATCAGACTTTAGTCCCAGTAAAAAAAATTATTAGTTTATCACCCCTGCGCGCATGTGTTCTATGGTACTAAAAAAAAAAAAAAAATTTTTTTTAATTTTTTTTTAAATTGATTTTTTTTTTTTTTTTAATTAATTTTTTTTTAATTTATTTTATTAAATAGTTAGTAGATATTGTTTGCATTATCTAAATTATGTTTTACTTTGAACATCAATGCACCAGCAAACCACCCAAGGGTGATATTTGGCTTTAGCAAAATAAAAAAAATGTAAAAAAAAAGCCTCCCTCCCTCATCACTTTTTCTACCCAGATAGGGTGATAAACTAATAATATTTTTTATAGGGCCTTAGATCCTTAGATATTCTCACTTTTCAATTCTATTGTATAGTGAATGCTTTTAAATGTAGTACAAAACTTTAGTAATTATGCAACACTTTTAGTACTTTTAGCAGATAGGCTTATATTTCAATCTGTCATGGACTAATCACTTCTGGGATATGCTGCCTTTTTAGAAGAAAAAAATAATTGAGATAAAACCACTGAACGAAAAATAATATCTAACCGTATACAGTATATTCATTTGAAGTGCTCAGAAATAGTAGTTTAAGCACTGTTATGTCAATACACCATGAGCATCTTTACAGGTGGATACCAGCACATAACACATTTTCACTAATTATTATTATTATTATTCTCTCATTACCCCATATTAAAAGCAAGCTCTTCCCCATCCCCTGATAACCTCATAACAGTTACGATTACACAAATAATTACCTAAAAGTTATGGGGGAAATTGTATTTTCCCAATTATGATAATATTTTTTAGTTCTACCCATGCCAAATAGGTTGTGTATGCACCACTGTTTGTTTGCTTGTCTGTTAGCAAGAGATTATGCAAAAATAGGTTCCCAGCAGTAGTGGGTGTCTACTACTGTTGTGATTTTTAGTGAACTTTCTAGGACAGGTCTTATCTAGCAGTTTTCTGTGTTGTCAATTCAATTGATAACTAACTGACACTGGTACAGGTCTTATCTAGCATGGCCTATTATTTTGTAGACTTGCTTTTCATTTTTATCTTTAGCTCATCCCATCATTCCTCCACCAGATTTACCCCTACAAAAATTACTCGTGCACGCCCCTCCAAAAACTACTCATGCCCCCTCAGTCGCCCCCTCAAATCTGACTTGCAAGTAGTTAAAAATCACCTTATTTTGCGAGTAAGTTCAGGGGCGGATTTAGGGGGGGGGGGCGGCCCGCCCTTTTGGGAGTTAAAAAAAAGGAAAAAAAAGAAATAAAAGAGAGAAAAAGAAAAAAATGATAGCCCAGAATGCCTCAAATGTTATGTTCGGGCG